TTCACCCTTGTTTGGTGTTTTTGCCACACTGTTTTCAGCCAAAACTCTTGGGCAGGCAGAACCTTCAGCCTTTGCTTACTGTTTCTTCTCCTCTGTGATAGTTCCTTTTCCCTCCCTGAATTTGAAAGTTCCAGGTCTCGGTTTTCAACTTTCAGTCTCTCTAAAACACACCATAGAACATGTTATGTTCAGTCTGTCCACCAGTGGGCACAGCCACTTAGGTGAGATATGCACTAATCAGTCTGTCCACCAGGAGGCACAGTCCCCCTGTTCGCCCCCTCCCCCAGGTCTGGTTATTGCTCCTTTCATGTCTCTACTTCTGCAACCACATTTTTAGTCATTAAACTCACACTTAGTGAGCCTTGTTCATAGCTGGTTTTTGTCCTTCAGTTATACCAGAGGCATCCTTCCCTGCTCTATGTTGTTGTTGTTGTTGTTATGTGCCGTCGAGTCAGCCCTGACTCATAGCGACCCCTCCTTGGGTTTCCAAGGCAGTATCACTGCAGAAGTAGGATTGCCCAACCTTTCTTCCGAGGAGTAGCTGGTGGGTTTGAACTGCCAGCCTTCTGGTTAACAGCCAAGTGCCTTAGCCACTATGCTACCAGAGCTCCCTCCCTGCTCTATGGGGGCTGCTTATATTGGAGCTGACATTTAGGAGAAGCACAGGCAGACTTTCCTCCATTTCAGGAGGGAAAAGGGCTAGGACTCTGCCAAAGGCCCGCCAAGAGATCTGTCTTGTTTGTTTCAGAGCCCCAGTGACCCTATGTTGATTGGTAGAGCAGCATCCCCTTAAGTGACCCACCTCCTGACTATAATGTAGGGAACCTTCTGTAGGAGTTCAAATCAGTCCAGCAGCCAACAGTTAGCAGTTGGATAAGGAGTTGTCACACTCTGGATGGCCCATCAGAAAGGCCTGCCTTGTACCTATCAAAGCCTGTCCTATAGTATGTTGGCTGTGGGTGCAGCCTTCACTCAAGGTGCGTGCTTCCTAGCACACAGCAGCCTCAGTGAGCAGCCCTCAGTGATGACTGGAATGGGGAAGAGAGAGACCCAAACTGATCCCAGGGAAGTCTGTCCTGTTGGTTTCATAGTTCTCAGCTGTGCAGTACACAGGGAAGCAGGTGCAGTGCTGACTATGGGAGCATACCTCACTCCAGGGGCCTCGTGTAGCAGTTTGCAACAGCCTGGCCACCAAGAAATGCTAGGTGGGGAAGGAGGTGTCACACTCTGGTCAGATTCCCATGGAGTTATGCCTTATTGCTATCAGAGCTTGTAGTGTATTGGGTCTGGGTGTATGTAGCCTCCGCTAAGGATGTCTACTTCCTAGCACTCATAAGCCCCAGCCAGCAATCCTCAGCAGTCACTGGAAGCGGGAACAAACAGATCTGAACTGACTTCTCAGGAGATCTGCTCTGTTGGTTTCAGAAACCTGAGCTATAAGGTATGCAGCAAGGCAGGAAGAGTGTAGAATGTGTGTTCTGGTTACCTAGTGCTGCTCTGATAAGAATATACTACAAATGGGATGGCCTTAACAAACAGGAGTTTATTCTCTTACAGTTCGGGAGGCTAGAAGTCTGAGTTCAAAGTGCCAGGCTCTAGGGGCTGTTGGAAAGTCCCTTGACTTTGGGCTTCAGCTCTGCCTCTTGCTCCCAGCTCACTGAAGCTAGAGGCATCTCTTCACTCAGGCAGCTACTGGCTGCTGAGGCTAACAAGCCCAAGGTCAACAAATAGCACAGTCCCGATGTTACCAAACCACACAGCAGGATTAATTCAAGTCCATTGTAAGTCCCAAGGTCGGCAGAGCAGGGCAGACTGCTGAACAATGACAAGGCTCCATGCAGGATTCAAGGTGCCATAAGCTAGAGACTATCCCCAAGGCTCCTCCTTATATACAGGAAGCAGACCACATCCCAAAGGCAGCTACTTTGCTGCTTGTGGTAGATCTCACCATGGAGCTGATTGCCAGTCTGATCATGGGGAATAACTACCACCAGCTGCCCAGCCACTCAACCAGGCCCAGCCAAGTTGACATACAAATTTAACTACCACAATGTGAAAGCAAACTCCACTGCATGGGCCTTATGTAGCAATTTGCAGTAGGCTTGCAGCCAACAGGGTCCAGGTAAGGGAGGTGCTGGCATACACCAATGGATCTGTGTGCAGGGAGGTTTAGCTTGTTGATTTTAGAGCAGAAGCTCTACTGGCTCGTTGTACAGGCAGGGTCTGTGGTAGTTAGGGAAGGAGGCTTCTTTTATGGGGCCTCTTCCTCAGTTCACAGCTGCTGGTGGCCCATGTGGCTGGGGGGAGGAGCAGGGATGGTGAGAGAAGTGATTTTCCTACCATGTTGTTGATTCATTGATCATTGCCTGTCTGCCATTCCCCATTGCTTTCCTCTGTGCTCTGATTTAGAGTCCCTCAGAGCTGAACACCATTTCTTTGTTGTGTTTTTTGCTGTATTTGTTGGGGAGAGTCAGAATGATGGTCTTTTTATACCTTCATCTTCCCATAATCTCAATATCAATTCTTTTGCTCCATGAACATGGGATGCCTTTTCATTTATTTAGATCTTTGTTTCTCTTAGAAGGTTCCTGAACCTTCCAAGGCTTGTAGTGAGGACCAGTGTTTTAAATGGCATGCCCATGTAACTGCTTGCCTGTGGCCCTCCCCCTAACACCTTGTTATTTGTGGTTTTAATGATTTTCTCTTGACAACCTTTGCAATGCCCTTCCACCAAAGTGCTTACTTGTAAAGAAAATCTAAACTCTCCATGTCCCCAGCAGCCTAAGTGTAACAGAACCAAAAAAAACCCAAACTCACTGCCGTTGAGTTGGATCCAACTCATAGCGACCCCTCCTTGGGTTTCCAAGGTGGTATCACTACGGAGGTAGATTGCCCAACCTTCCTTCTGAGGAGTGGCTTGTGGGTTTGAACCGCCAGCCTTCTGGTTAGCAGTCATATGCCTTAGGTACTATGCCACCAGAGTTCCCATGGGAAATGTTGGTGGCTTGGCCACAGGCACAGCCAGCCCCCACCGAGCCAGTGAGCCTGCATGACTGAGGATCAGAAAGGCATAGAACTTCTCAGTGTTTTCCACCTCTCAGATTCCACTGCCTTCCAAAATATTGTTCCTCTTCTTGTTGCACAGCCATACTTAAAAAGGGCTTCCTGCTCACATGTTCATGTTTAGATAACATAGGTAATGTGACCAGATTCTACTAGGGACTGTAGTTTGTCAAAATCACTGTAAATTATAGCTTATTTGGATGGATATTTGTCCTCACAGGTGGACTACATCTTGAATTTAGGGTTACCTCAACCTTTAGCCATTATTGTTCATTTCTTTCCCACCACAGTCATGAAGATAACTTCTATCTTTTGAGTTGCTGAGTTAAAAGCAGAGGCTACCTGTGAGGTTCACCCTTACTTGATTGTAGTTACCTGAGAGTTTGACTCAAATCAGGGACCTTCCTTTGGAGGCTATAAGGGCAGATCGGACCCATGGGCCGGTAGGGTGAGCCAGCTGAATGGACCAGGTTCCAGCAGAACATTGCCAGCTAGTGCGCCCAACTTCTAAAGGGCATAATTAACTCTAAAAATTATAGAAAGAGACCATCTCTTCTTGCTTTGGCCATTGGTCAGGATGAACATAAAACTGATTCTTCCAGCTAACCCTATGTGAAAATCAATTAACAAATGGTCCACTACTACAAGGTGTTCTGTTTCTAGGTTGTGATTGCCTGATAAATTGCTAGAGAATGACTGTTGATGACAGAGCAAATTTACATTCAGCTCCTTTCTTGTCATGTAAATGAATTTGGAGGGTCTTGCTTAAAATTTGTAATTTGCCACTTCAAAAATAAAACTGAGCTGGTATAAGAGGAAAAAAAAAAGAAATTACATTTGGAGGCTTCATTGTAATGCCAATAATTAGTTGCCTAAAGATTGTTAATTATAGATCAGGTTACTACCACATAGTTCTTATAACTCCATTCTTTGGAAAAATTTTAAAATAGAAGTAGTGCTCATCTTGCAGGGGTTGTTTGGATTCTGAGAGGTAGACCCATAGACTCTTTGGCACATCAGGCAGCATGTGATTTATTCTACTTCCTTTAAGTGTTTAAATGTAATCTGATCTGATTTTTTAAATATGCTCAAAACATACACAACATAAAAGGCATATATTGACCAGTTCTCCTCCCATTCCTGTCCCTCACTAATCAGTTACCCCTCGATTCTTACGTATCTTCTAGAGTTTATGTGTATAAAAAGCCAATAAGAATATATATTCTTCTTTAATTTCATCAGAAGTCTTAAGAGTCTCAAACTCACTGCAGTTGAGTCAGATCCGATTCATACCTACCCCTCCTTGGGTTTTCCGAAACGGCATCACTACGGAAGTAGATTGCCCAACCTATTTTAGAAGAAATAAATTAATATTAAGTAGACTTTAAATGGAATTTTAAAGTAATTCATCAGCTTTTATCTTCTTATAAGTGAAAAATCTTCCCATAAGTGCATTTGGACAAAATTTTGATCTGCTCATCAATAAAATTATCGTATTCCACAACAAGGAGGCCATTTTGTCAGAGTTGGCCACCCTTTGCTTAACAGATTGTGGTATATACCTAAATTACGGGGCCACTTGTCAGAACTTCTCTCTGCTCAATAGAAAAAGTACATGAAATACAGGTTTGTTCTTGGCTGAATGGGCAAATGCTATGCAATTCTCTGGCTGAATCCCAAGTTCTATTCTGATGTAATGTATGGTCTATAAACCTGCCTCAATCTGGTTTGTGAATTTTTCCCTCTGCATGTAAATTTTGAAATACAAATTAATCTCTACCTCAGTAGGAACTTAAAAAATAAAATAGTATTAAATGTCAGGGTTTACTGAAACCATAAATATTGGAAGAAATACTGCCTGGAACATTTTTATCATACATACATTTCATATAATTTCCATCACAATGCATATAATTCATATACTTTTCCTTTCCAAGAAGACATCTGTTAAGGACATGGCTGATTTCCCTATCCCTACCCAGGATGTGACTCTCGATGACAAACAAGGTATGAAAAAAATGAATTTTGTTCTTTTAAGGATCTTCTACCTATGTGTCCTCGTTCAAATCTCTCGAAATGTGTGGTTTCTGGAGCATTTGAGGATAGTTTTGAGTATGTGCACACACTTGGACTGTTGGCATGTTTCCACATAATCATAGTTCCTAAGGTGGTTATGGGAGTTTGAGTGCCCAAAGCCCCCTAACTCATTGGCCCTTGACTCACTGCTCACCCTCAGGCCACTGTGATACCTTGCATTGGAATCTGGCCAGCTAAGTAGAAAAAGACTGGCCACTGACAGAATTGAGAACTTCCTTAACATCTTGTGTTGACAGATATGATCCTAGAATCTGAGGAGAAATGCACCTTTGTACAAAGCTCTAATACCTGAGGAAGTTCTATTGTGGCCAGATTTTCTGTTCTTGGGCTATATCTGCCTCACTTTGGCTTTGCGAGAGTGGTTTTTTTGGGGGGCAGGGATATGATGTGGAGCCTAGCAACTATTTTGCCTATTTTGTGACACATGTAAGAAGCAGTGCAACACAGGGCTCCATGTTGTAGTTACCATTAAGCGCAGGGATGAAGTGGCCTGATAACTATCTAGAACAGCAAGAAGGACCCTCCCCAATACTTCTGTTTAATGCCTGATAATCTACCAGGCCCTTCCTCTAACCTTGCTGCATTCAGTCCTCAAAACACTGAATGGAGGCTCGTATATTTTATCACCTAAAATTTAAAGAGGGGGAAATGGATGCTCTGACAGTATGAATGATTTGCTTGGTTAGTAAGAAAAAAGAACTTGGACAAGAATCAAGATTTTGTTGATCTCAAGCTACCCTTCCTGCTAGTAACTGATGTTGATCCACTAACTACAAATGAGAGAGGCTTATCTGAAGGGTCTACATGTCAGTGAAGCTATTGAAGGTTTTATTATCGAAACCTACCATTTGTTCAGCTTTGTGTTGGAAAACTTTCTAAAAAATAAGTTTTCCATTAAGGAACAATAATTGCATGTTCTCTTTTTTAAATACTTGCTGAGGAGACGCAGACAGATCTGGGTATTGTCTGTAGCAGTGCATACTCTGTTCATTCTTTTCACTGTGGATACTTGGCCTGCACATTGGAATAACCCTAAGAACTCTAAAAATACTGAAGCCTAGACCCCAAGCCCAGAGATCGGATATAATTTGTCTAGGTGTCAGGAATGAAAAATCTACCCCGCAGGGTTTCCAGTGGCTGACTTGTCAGAAGTAAGTCCCCAGGCCTTTCTTCCAGGCAACCTCTGGGTGGACTCCAACTAGCAGCTATGCATGTTAACCATCTACACCACCCAGGGATTCCCAGCAGGAATGAAGGGAAAATTCCTGATGCTTTCTGGTAATGCTCTCCCTAGCCACTAGAGGTACACCCTCTGGAAAGTTAAAAGTATAGCTTTGTTCTCTGTAGGAGGAAAACCTATTTCCATAATCCAGGAGGTCTTTATTATTTTCGTGAATGCTCCACTTGATGGCAACTGGTTTTGTACCAACTTTTAGTGGTTTATTAAAAAAACCAAATCCATGCCGTCGAGTCGATTGTGACTCATAGTGACGCCCACTGGGTTTCCGAGACAGTGAAACTTTAAGGAAGTAGATTGCCCCATCTTCCTTCCTTGGAGTAGCTGGTGGGTTTGAACCACCAACCTTCTGGTTAGCAGTCACATGCCTTAGGCACTGTGCCACCAGAGCTCCTTTAGTGGTTTATGGGATCTGTTTTTGTAAGTGATAACTGGGGGTTCTTTGTTTTAATGTAATGTACCTCAGAAATAAAATGTCATTATTTTTTTCCTCCCCTTTCTCTTATTCCTTCAAAATAAAACAATACATCACTAGCTTTGAAAACTACTACAGATGAAGGCTCACCAAAGGATATGTCTGAGGATCCAGGTAGGAACAAACCTTAATTTTAATATACTTTCTATGTAATTCTTTCTAATTTACAAAGCTATAGTTTCAGCAAGAAGAATATTACTACCGCTCTGATAGTGTGTTTGTTTCTCCCTACATATTTCTCTTGTGTTTTATTAGAAGAAACCACTTTGGCTTTTTACTTTTCCTCTTTCTGGTGTGAGAAGAGGATAATTTCTTCTTTAAATTCCCAATTTAGGTTTCACTGAAAGGATAGCTCAGTTTAAATTTAGGGTCTCATTGGAGTTGAGATGATTTCAGCGAACTACGGCGTTTCATGTGGAGTAAAGACCTGATGGGGTAGGTCAGCTGGAGGCCTGGAGCTGATAATTGCCATTTCCAAAGTGAAAATCTCAAATATTTTCATTATACCTAAAAACCAGGAAAGAAGTGGTGGTGCAGTGGTTAAAGCTCTTGGCTGCTAACCGGAAGATTGGCAGTTCAAACCTACCAGCCGCTCTATGGGAGAAAGATATAGCAGTATGCTTCCGTAAAGATTTAATAGCCTTGGAAACCCTATGGTACCAATCTCCTCAGTGCTATGGGGTTGCTGTGAGTTGGAATTGACTCGACGGCAGTGGGTTTAATTTTGGTAAACACCAGGAAGTCATGTATGTGTCTTACACAAGTAGTGGATTTATTACTGGTTACTCCAAGAATAATAATAAGAGTTGAGTTAGTCTAGTTTCTTGAACACTTGGAACTGTGTCTGTGCAGCCAGTGGAGAATGACTGGGCCTTGTGTCCTCAACTCTCTTGATGACAGCACCATTGAACCACGATACACCCTAGTTAAAAAACTGTCCAGGGAAGGTGTGACTGTTTTGTACTCTGGTCATGAGTATATGAAAGAAATTGCCACTTTCTCTTTTGCTGTTATATCCCTTATATTAGTAAGAAAATCATTTTGTTGTGATTAACTAGCTGTCTTCCCACGCTTCTGGTTTAAAATTGAAATAGTGGAATCAATATGATGTTGAGGCTTAAGTTGTGGTAAAATGTTTTCCAGACACCAAGTTCATTCAAGGCTTAAATGAGAGGAAGAAGAAATGGGGAGAAGGGTCTGAGAGGGAAGAGGAGAGAAACAGAGGATGAATATGAATTTGAGTGAGAATCTGTATTTTTCGGAAGCTCCTCAAGTGATTGTGATATGTAGCCTATTCTGGGAACTGGTACCTCTGGAGAGGAGTGTCTGGGTGGCACAAGCACTGCTAACCAGGAGCAGTTCTACTCTGTACACATGGGGTTGCCATGAGTTAGAATCAGCTCCATGGCAACCAGCAGCCATCATAACCTCTGGAAGGTGATGTTAAGAAATAGAAAGTTAAGGCTGTGGAACCAGCATGATTCCAAAAGTGGTGTGAATTCCAAGCTAAATTTTGCCTTTTGAAATAGATTCGAATTCATTGATCGTAGGGGGAACACGCTCTATTTGTGTAGATGAAACCTGAGGTTGGTTCTTCCCACCTCAAATTTTGGAGCCAAACTAGATGCATGCCAGTTTTTGAAAACTTCATGCTGTAGTTTTAGTCAAAGCTATTTAAATTTGAGGAGTTGAAACTGGTGCCTCTCCAACAGACTTGGAGGCTAATAAATAACTTTTTTTTTTTTTTCTGGAGAGTTTAGCATGAGCATAAAGTTTTCTTTGGGGCATGTGCTTAAGGATCATGTGTAACATCCTCTCATTGAATAAGACAAAGCGACATCAAGCAAAACATACTAGGTGGGACACAGTGCGTGAAGCATACCTGAATTGGGTTTTCATGTTCTACCTGGGAGCATGCTATGTGTTTCCTTAATCATTCTTCCTGCTGCTGCCCCTTTCTGGAGGCTACAGGTTTCCTCTTGTATCCACTCCATGACAAGCCTTGTGTGTTCTGAGAAGTTGCCATTCTTCCATTGTCTTCCCAGCTAAGTGAGAAGCAATCATCCATCAGTTAGTTGCTCCTACCTGAATGCACAATACAATGTGCCCTTGCTGTTTTTGCAGATAGTCACACATACCATATGATGAGGCTGACTTCTAGGGGCTTCAAGGCAGATGGAAGCATTAATAGAACAGTGGTCTCTGGCCTTTTCTAGTTTGAAACCTATGGAGATTGACCAAGACCTGCCTGGGAGATCTGTTTCCAGGTTGAAGGAGAAGCAGCACCCCCTGCTCTACTCCTCCACAATTGTTGGTATTAATGCTAATGATGGTGGTGATGGGTGGTGGATGATACACAGGTAGTGCTGTGTTATCAGGAAATGGGGCTGTTTCTTATGAGCTCATTTTCCTTATGCTATTACCCTTTGAACTGCTGAAAATGTATATGTAAGTGGAGACCAATAGAATTCTTAATGTTGCCTTCCAGCCTAATTCAGCAGAGCACACTGCACGGTGGGGATCTTTCTCTTGGTGCCTTTGGGTCATACTGAGGTTTAGCAGGCTGTTCACCCTCATACTGTGGTCTCCAGACTGCTCTTGGTGATTCTGCCCTCTTTGGCAGCAATCGTCTAATGATTTTAGGTGTAAAACAAGTTCTGTCCTTCTCCCATCTGTACCTTCTTTGCTGTTCCAGAAGGAGCTAAATTTAGAAACTGGATTCCTAAGCTTGAATAATTAGGAACTTTGTTTATGCATTCTGTAACAGTAATAATTTATCATTTAAAAATACACTTAGTTTTCAAAATATCTTCAAGTTTCTTATCTCTCCCAGTGAGGCGCAGGGCTACATTTTTATTATCTTCATTCTGGAGGTGAGGAAACTAAGATTCCAAGAGGTATCAGCAAGTTCATACCATGGCCAGGAAGAGAACCTACACTTCAGGACTCCTGGCCTGATCTCTGGGCTGCTCTCCCCACTCCTCCTCGTCACCGTTAACCCCATCTGTCTGTCTGTGTTTATCTCTCACCAACATGGCTCGCCCTTCCTTCCATACCCATTCCTACCCCAGCAAAAAGAAAAAGATAATGGCAACTGACAAAGGAATTAACAGTCACCATAGCTTGGTTTGGGGAACAGTATTTTAACACAGCCAGGACTCCTTCCTATGGACACCTTGAGAGCAGGGCCCTGACAGAGAAGAGGGGCACGGAGCCTGTGGTGGGCAGCCTGTTCAGAGGGCTCCCCCAGCCCTGTGGTGAGTCCATTACACTCTGTTCACCTGGCCGCAAGGCAGCTCCCTGGGTGGGTGGAGCTGCTCCCCTTTCAGATCCATTCTCTGCTGCCTGGAGTCTGTAGGAGGGAGGTGTTTTTCCATCCACATCCAGGTGCATGTGCATGACATTGGCAAGAGGGGACTTGGACACCGCGCTTTCCATGCTGGCTTTTGAGGCTGTGGCTGTGTTGCGGAGGGTTGAGGTCTAGAGATGTGTGTGTCCTCATTACAATAAGCCAAAGTGCTTAGATTGGGAAGATGCCCCTAACACGCAGCTGACCATGTCTCAGGGCATGCAGATTGGTGGTGTGCTTTGTCAGCATTCCTGGGGGTTTTCATCTCCCCTTTCTGCCCTGCTTATATAACCGAAGGATTTTAATGACTGTCATAAATTCAGGCTGCTTATCTCTGGAGCATTGTGTAAGAGAATGGGATAATGCAGGGCAGTATTTTCTTCCTGAAAGATTTTGTGCACACACGTATAGGTGTGTGTCACTAACTTCCACGATATGTTCTGTGAAAGAGGACATTAAGTGATCTGGACATTGTGTGAACACCACATTAAAATCTTATGGGAGCCCACTTGCAGTTGTCCTTGCTGCTGCTGCTGCTGCTGCTGCAGCCACTGGTGAAGGCTGAAGGAATGGGTGATGACAGTAGTGCTGGCTGAGAGAACAGGGGCAGGAACGGAACAAGAGGAGGTGAGCAAGGAGGGAGAAGAGCATGCCCAACCCAACTCGCTGTTCATCAGCTTGAGCAGCTTGAGCAGCCTGGGCCTACAGCCCTGGCCACTGCCTGCCTGCCGGACAAAGCCTGCAAGCCTGCACCCAGAGCCGGGTCCTCTGCCTCACCTGCCTGTATCCCACTCGTCAGCCAGAGCTGTAAGAGTCTGGGTTTTAGGTCTTTAAAACCATTAGGGGAAAATAACAAACAAAAGAAGAGCTTTCTCTTTTAAAAAGCCAGCCAAACAAACAAGAAGCAAAAGCTTACGGAACTAGAGATATATATGCAGTTGGGAGTTGCCCAATCAGATGTTAAGCGATGTATACCTGTACATAAATTACATTGTTCCTGTTCCTAGTTATTAGCACTTTCTCTATGAACTTTTCTGATATTTCATGATGAAAAAATTTCAGTGTTTGCAAAACCTCAGCATAGCTATTGATTCCCAAAGTTATCTAAACGATTGGAAGCATAAATAAACTGAGGATTCGTGTTTTTGTAAATGTTTCAAATTAATGATTTCATTCCATATTTGCTATATGATTTGGTCATAGAGACAGGGGGCACAAGACTGTTTTCTTATTGGAAAAGCTGCATAGCTCATTTCAGCTGACTTGTGACTGATTGCTCGTGGCCCTGCTGCTCGGATAGTATAGTTTAAGAAATATGGAGCCGAAAGGTTTATACATGGAAGGAAACTTTCTTTGTTGGTTAGCAGGGATAGGAGAGGAGGGCAGGAAACACTGCAAAAATAAATAAATAAAAAAGAAATACGGAGCCCAAGAGATTTCTCCCTAGCCTTCAGGGCGGACTGGTTTAAAATCTGATGCTAGGCTATCCTGATCAGCCAAGATACCCTCCAGTATGAACCATCATTATGCAAAACAAATAACCTCTTGAAAAGGTTGTCTTTTCAGATTGGACTTTCTTTAGTAATCGGCATAGATTTGAGGTAGTCTTCTGCTGAGAGGAAAAATGTGTTGCTTTTCCTTTCCCTGTCATTGGTGTCTTTAGTTTTAGAAATAAAGTGATGAAGTCATGAGATGTGGAAGGCATCCAGATTCTCCACATGGACACCGGTGCCTCGTGTTTACCTATTGCTGTGTTCTGTACTAGCCCAGGTGCTGCACATAAACCTGTTTAACTGCAGAAATGAAACCCAAGCAAACAACAAATAATCTTTGTTTCAGCAACTCCTAAGGATTCCAACAGTCTCAGAGCAAGACCAAGATCCAGGTAGTGTTTGTTTAATTTCTGCTTTAATGTGCTTTGTGCCCTGACCTTGCCTAGGCATAAAACCCCCAACTCAAAAGCCAGCCCATGCTTTCTTCTTCCTTTAGAATGGAAAATTAGAACCTGGGTAATTTCACTAGTTGGGTGTGGTTCCATTGGAACACATAATGATGCTGGGGAGATGCTTCACTTCTGTTTTTATTCTAGAAAGTGGTGGTGGATGCTCTCTGGTCCCCTGACCTGAAGAGGTAGGCTGTGCGATTATGACCCATTTGTCACAGGACGATAACCAATAGGGAGAAGGAGCATTGAAAAGAGGGGAACATGATTATAAGGTAACTAACACTGATTCCACAATGAAGTCAGCACCAGAAAGAAAGAGGTATGAGGGATAAATCTAGACTAGGAAAAGGAAATGGGTGTGACTGTGTCAACGAGGACTGAAGTTTCTTCTTATCAAAGTCAGGTAAGCAGAGTATATGGTCTGTTTGAGCCCCTCTTAGAGTCTTTCTTTTGCTTCTTCGTTTTTCAATAAAGGAGAGTAGAAGAGGGAGAGTGAGGCAGTGCTCTGCAGAGAGGAGCAGAGGAAGGGTAGCCTTCATCAGTCCAAGACGTGATGGTCCTGAGAGGACCGTGCCTGGTAGAACTGAAGTGCAAGGTCGAGTACTGTGGGTGTGTGTGGCCTTGCTAAGTTCCGCGTAGACTCTCCTGACGTTTTTCCTCCTCTTGCTGGTAGACATACTCCTGAAAATGTGGATTTAATTCTAATCATATTTTCTATGCTTGAAATACCAATATTTAAGGAAATCTTGTCTCTGTGTAAAGCAAAGAGTTATCCCTGAGTTTATCTTTTACACCTGGATTTTCCAACTTGGGTTTTTGTTTCCTTGTTTATAGCAGGTGTTGATAACTGTGTATTGTAAAAATAGTAAATGGAGTCACTCGTTTTGGTAGGAAAAGGGTGTAGTCACTGCTTCTCTCTGTGGCATGCCATTGCTCATCCTGTAGAGGGTGAGCAGATCTCCCGCATGTCAGTCTGTGTTGGTTTGGGGACGGAGAGCACTGCCACCTCTTCTCTCCTGGCGGAAGAAGCATCTTTAAATGCAAAATCTGCTTCTGTAAACTATGTTAACCATGAACTGACCTTCTCACTTTTTATTCCTACTGCTCTGTCCTTGCTCCCCAAGCAAGTGAAATTACAAAATCTCATAGTCACATATTCTGGTATTAATGTGTTTTACTAAATTATATATACATATATATGTATACACATATAAAAGAGATTTGTCTCCTGGTCTGATGAAGTTTTTATGGTTACTATTCCCACCTGGGTCTCAGACCAAGACAATCAAATAATTTTATCTTCCTTTTTTACAATAATAAAGCTTTATTGAAATGTAAAGGGAAAGTCAGCAGTCTAGTAACAAACTATAGAAATGGTCCTTGAAAGTATGGTCTAAAAATCACCATTCTGACACTACTACAGTCATCATTTTGTTGATTCCTTGCACATTTATATTTTAATTGGTTGTAGTCATACAATCTCACTTACTTGATATTCAGTAACTTTCCATATGAAAGTATAAGTATGTAGATTATATATGGAAATGACATGTATGGTGTGGGATATATATGCATGCACAGTGAAACCTGTGAGAGCCGGAACTTGATAAGAGTGCCGTGTTTCTCCAGGTCTCAAAAATTCTCTGCCTTTGACAAGGTGTAGTCTTACCACTTTTCTGTCACTGTCTATTAGCAGAAAGCGTTTGAGTTTTCCTTCTCTGACAGGCATCTGCCTTACACAGGTTCTGGCTTTCACAGGTGTGTTTGTGTGTGTGGATTTATATATATTTCTTGAGTGAAAGATGTCACTAACTCAACTTCCGGCATAGAAAGTTCTTTGAATTTCTGGTTAGGGTCTCTCATTTCCTTTTGAAGTTACGAGTTCCCCTGTAAACACAGCAGCATTTTACTCCGCTTGAAAGTGTCCAAACACTCTTCCCTGCTAGTTCCTGCAGGCCTTCTTGCCTTGTCTGTCTTGGCAGTTGTTACAGAGACTATCCTAGAGTGTATCACATGGCAGTGTGACAGCTTTGCTAAAGATTGCAACCTGACGAGAGAGACAAAAACCTCATCTTCCACAAAGAAATGTTGAACTCCAAAACGGCTTGGCCAAGAACGGAGGGAGCTTAGTCATAGTGGTAGACTGATTTGACGAGTGCCACTCACTCTGATGGCTCAATATGAGGAACGGTTTTCTGAGATGAATGTGTCTGTAAGACACGTCTCTAACAAAAAGGCTGTTTTTCCTTGACGTGAAGTTAGTGAGAAGCTGCATAGCACAGATGTACCCATGCACCTCCTAAGTCCTTTTCTTGATCATATATTGGAAATGTGTCTTTAAGCCTGTTCCTCAGTGATAGCCCAATGTACTGAGGTTGAATTAATTCAGAAAATAAGTGCTCTCTAGTGTACATTCTAGCTGCTGTTGCCAAAGGAGCTCTTCCTTGGCTCACAAGGCAATAAAAGAACATTTTGTAAGTGGAATTGTACCTGTGTACAAATAGCTTACTAGCTATTTGACCTTTGGCAAATTACTTTGTTCCTTTTTCTTTAATGTCATAATTGGAGTTACAGTCTCCAGATTTACCTAGTTAGTTACTGCCTTGCTCCAGATTAAGGAGCTCTGGTGGCACAGTGGTGAAGGCATTTGGCTACTAACCAAAGGTCACCGGTTCAAACCCTTATGCTGCTCCTCGGGAGAAAGATGAGGCAGCCTGCTTCTATAAAGATTTATAGCCTTGGAAACCCTGTGACAGTCACTGTGAATCAGAACTGACTCGATAGCAGTGAGTGGTGAGTTTGTTACAGATTGAGGGAGAAGGTTCAAGTGAGGCTTTTGCTTGGGAAGTTTCCAAAATAACCTCTGTTCCTTAGGGCATGAAAGCCTACGCTGCGCCACCTGATTGGGTGTGTTTTCCTTTCCTGAATTTCATTTGTGGCACATTCCCTTGCACATTTAGTCCTTACCTTCAGCTTATCTGTCCCAGTTCCATATGTACATATGATACTGCATTTGCATGGGAACAGGAGAGAAGTTCTGCACTTAATACCATGAAGCCCTTCTCTTAAAATATGGACATACCTAAGCCAAACGGTTCACCTGCTATTCTTGTTAACCATTCCAATAGACGCTGATTTGGATTTACATAAAACTTTTCCTGTTTTGTACATTTAGGTCTAAGGAGTTTAAAAAGCTCCTGGTGCATGGTTAGGGTTTGGCTAATTCTTATACAGTGTGACTTCTGCTGGGGGAGCTTGTCAGCCCTTTACAGTCATTCTGACTTTGGGGGCATTTTCCATTTCCAGATCCAGCTGCCAAAAGTAAAGTTTTGCCATTTCCTTTCTGACCCTCCCTTATTTTGCTGCAGATCTTACTCTAGCACCTCCATAGAAGAGGCCATGAAAAGGGGCGAGGACCCTCCTACCCCGCCACCGCGGCCCCAGAAAACCCATTCCAGAGCTTCCTCCTTGGATCTGAATAAAGTGTTCCAGCCCAGTGTGCCAGGTGAATCTGCACCCCAGCCGTTGACCTTCTTGTTGGAGCCACTGGGTGTGTGTCAATCCCAGAGGCCTTTGGGGCTGCAAAGGAAGAGCCCATCTGGCCATTTCCCCCCCATTGAGGGTTTTGCATTACTATGGTATTGTGGGCTTTACACTGTATGGTATTGTGGGGAAGGGAAAGACAGTTCTAGACAGATACATAGCACATGTATCTGGAGCATTGCCCACACTTGCTATGGATCAAGAATTAGAAAATTCTATAGCGAGAGGGTAAAAATGTTGACACTCCAAACAGCCCCACATGAGTGGTTGAGGTGTTACTCTCAGCATCATGGTAACTTGTAAACAAAGTTGCTCTCTTATCATTTCCTCAGACACTTGTATAGTTCCTGTTTGAAAGACCTTGATGATAACTGGCATACTGGAACCTTCTCCTGTATTTATCCTTGTGGAGAGAGATCATATGTCCTGAAGGGTTTAATGCTAAGGGGGGTTCTAAATCTGACTGACGGTTAGGTGGTTGGTGAAGGGATCTAGGGCAATGGCCCCTTCAAGGAGGAGGTACTAAGGCTTCTGGATTGGGACTTTGTTGTACCAACTTCTGTACAACTAGAGGTGGGGGAGGCCAGACGGGCCTGTCTGATGATGTCCACCTGAGAATCTGCGGAACAGAAGATGAGAACCATAGCTTTGCCTTAGTGAAAGTGATAGAATACGGCACCATCCCAAATGTTATTTTGGGAGCAACAAGGGCTTTTCCACTGACTAATGCAGGCAAGCTATAAATACAATTATTTCCTGGAACTCTTTCTGTATCGATGTGCATTTTAAATCAAGCCAGAGTCAGATGCTAGTGATTTGAAGATTATTATCTTTTCTCCTAAAGCGAGAAAAGACTCTCCTTGGCTGACGTATCAGCGTGACCTCAGTGTCCAGCAGAGCACAGCAGGTTTTATTTGTTCTAATAAAGTCCTCTCCTCATAGTAAAGTTAGAGATTGTTTTTTAATACACTAGAATCTGGAACTCCCCAGGAAATTTGATTCTCTGCCATGAGTTCATCAGGCAAAAATTTTGCCTTGAATTTCCCCCTCCATACTTTGATCTAAATTCTGGCATAATTTCATAGTAAGTGCTGTTTGGGCTGAGGGCAGCCACAGATGATGATGCTATAAAAATTCCACATGGCTAGTGGATTGTGAGCTGGACGGTTGTCACACAGATGCAGGAAGATTGAGACAATCTGCAGGTATCTCAGTACCTCGCCCTTGCAAAGGAGGGAGGCTGGACAGTGTCCACATGTCTCAGGTTTTGTACCCAAGCTAGGAGATGCCAGCTGGGTTTGAGGACTGATGTCCTGGGGTTTTTAAGACATCCTGTGCTATAGAGGAAAAGATAAAAGTGGAGGTGGAACCCAGCTCAACTGCTTATTTATGTGGAGTTTTAGGCAAGTGGTCTCATCTTTCTGCATCCCAGAGTCCTGCTCTGTAAATCAGAGCTGGTGCTCCTTGACCCTGTGAGGCTTCAGGAAGCCAGTAAACATCATCTGAATCGCACCAGATTTGGCACACACACCCCGTCTCCCCCTCATGTGATCTCATGTTACAAACAAGGCAGAGGTTCTTAATGACTTTATATCCATATCTTTGTTGCTGGGTTAAAGGCTCTAGACATGCAGAGTGTAGATATGTTGCCCAACTGCGCTGTAGAAAACTCGAGCCTGTCGACTCACCCCACCAGCAATGTTGTCTGACAGTGTTTCATAACCACTTGCCACTACCGGTTAGCATCCATCTTTTTAGTCCTTACCAGTCTGGTAGGTGACAGTTTACATTTCACTGATTCCTGATGAAGCTAACCATCTTTTCATTTCATTTTTGGCCATCCTTACTTTCTTGTTTGTTTTGTTGCCTGTTCAGAAGACTCACCCAGCTTCTGTGGCTCCATCTCTCTTTGCCTAACCGCAGAGACCACTTCACATTGGCCTCCGTGGTTCTGAGACTCTCTTACCTCAGACGCTTGGGTGGGAGTTGGGCATGTTGATGCGAACTTACTGCTGCACTGGGCCATTGTCCTTCCAGCCCCTGCAGCCCCCTCCTTCTGCCCACTTTATCCCTTAAGACAAACTCTACCAGGACCTCCTCATTTATAACAATGGAATAAGAAAGAAAGGTATAAAAGAGAGGGGAGGCACATGTGAAATGAAACAAAATGTGGACTTGAGCTGAAAGTGAAAGACAAAAATGAAGCTAACGTTTCAAACGAGATTCACAGGATTGTGAAAGCCAAGTGAATGAGGCTGAGTTGCGGAGGCAGAGAGGACTGAAGTGGAATGGTGGGATGGAAAGGAGGTGCACGGTGCTTGAACGGAAGAGGAAAATGAAGAGGGCGCAAACAGAATAACAGACTTGAGACTCAGGCAAGGAGAGACCACAGGCACTCAAATTAGGGTTTGGGTAGGTTTTAATGGAATTGCGTAGAACTGGGGGCATGAATGCCTCTGAATTTATGGAGGTGGGTGACACAATAGGGGGGGAAATAACAGGCTGATTTTGAATGTACATCTGTATAAATGCACAAGACTAACTTTGGAAGTGATGGGACAATTGGCTTAAACTTTGATATCTATGAAGAGAGTTGAAGAATGTGATTCATAGGAACCTAGACTGCCCCAAGGAGACCCTGGGTGGTTAATATGCTCATCTGCTAACTGAAAGGTTGGAAGTTCAAGTCCACCTAGAGGCACATTGGAAGAAAGCCTGGTGAGCCACTTACAAAAAACCAGCCATTTTTCCCCTGTGGAGCACAGTTCGACTCCAACACACATGGGTTGCCTGGAGTCGGGATTGACTTGATAGTGTCTCGTCTGGTCAGACTACCCCGGGGTTCTAAGTACTGCCATCAAACTGAAAGTGTTCACAAGGAGACGCTGCTATGATTTGGTCATTGTGGGTAATTGAGAGTTCACCATTCATGATAGCTATTGGACCAATCTCTTCACAGACCCAAATAGCTGCTAGTTTTGAACAGCAATAAAAATGTGCAAGAACATCTTAAGTCAGTGACGAGACATGTGTACAAAAGCTGGAGGCTGTCAAGCCCGGGACTTGCTCAGTGAGAGTTAACTTTTATAGCACTATACGTATAGTCATGAAATACCTTTATTATTGCAATTCCTGTAAGAAAAAGCACACTGTAAAGTCAATACTTTCTGGACCTGAACCTCCTTTTCCTCACGGAAGCAGTTGTTTTCATGAAGTAATTTTTGGATACAAGGGGTTTCTTTTGTTCCACCATGTGGTATGGTAAACTCCCCTTTTTTCACTCTTGATTATGACCAGGCCTTCCATAGCCGTGCCTAAGGCTGGCAGCCTTGAGTTAGATGGTAACAAGAAGAAGCCTCTGTGCTTATCCGCCACAGAGCCCTGTTCCAGTCTTTTAGCTTTAGCATCCGAGTGGCAGAGGGGCAGAGAGTGTGTGGAAGAGAGAGCTGTTCCTCTGGCGCATTAAGCACCAGACCCTGAACTTTCATCACTGTCCGTAGAAACTTACTGGGGAAACCTCGTCCCGTGGATATACCTTGCTGCCAGATGGCTGGAGGTGGAGTCCTTCCCTTCTAGGCAGTCACTTCCCAGAAACACCTCTCTTCCTGTAAAAGAGGAGGATGGATGTTGGGGGCAGCCTTTACCACCACACCCCATTTGGCCAAATACATTGCAGTTCACAAGGTTAAAGATGTTGTCATGGCTAAAGAAAACATAGCCATGGGTAGTTTCTGCCTGTGTGCCTCTGGGTGGGTAATTTCCTCACTCTGCTTTTAACATCCTGATAATAAGAACTTTAAAAGGTAAGTCCATGGTTAAGAAATTATGGTGCATCTACAGCATCTTATGAAGCTGTTAAAAAGTACAGGGCAGCTGTATATGTGTAGTAGGTAGAAAGATACCTGCTATAAATTAAGTGGAAAAGGCATAGTTTAGAATACATATGTTTGTAATGTACAAACAGTTTCAGATGGAGACTGGTAAAGGTGGTCACCTGTGAGGAAAAGAAGAGGGTGACTAGGGATAGAAATGGGAGGAAGACTGACTTTTCACTGAATACCCATTTATCACTTTCTAATTTTGCATCATTTGCAAATACTACGTATTGCAAAAAAAAAAAAAAGTGTTTTAGTTGATACCTACAGTGACCAGATGATACCTGAGAGTGCCAGAGATGTCCTTCCTGGCTGAGGTTACCTAGGCCAAACGTGCTTCTAATTCTGTACTAACTGCTACCACCTGCTAGAATGTAGCTGAAATGACAGAAAGCATTCTGGGGCATTCTTCAAGGCTCTGATAGTTTCTTTGGATTCTTTATTACCTCCTCAGTTACCTCCCACCCCTACATTGAGAAATAGTTTCAGAGTACTTCCCAGGCCTCTACTGGGAGGTGTACAGTTGGGAAGGCTCATGATCAGGTCTGGGTCTTAACTAGGGTTAAGGTGATGTGTGTTTATTGAGCAACAAACTGACAAGAGTCTGTTCTGGGTGTTGTACAAATGAATATTTCTTTCTGCAACTAGAGAAATAGGTAAACCCCTTGGGAGAAGATACCAGGAGATTTTGGCTTTAGCTGATTGTTCTATGTCCTGTATTTCCTGTAAAGTAGTAGGTAGCTCTAGGCTTAATCTGAATTGGGGTTTGATTTGTGGCCAGAATACTTCCTAGTGATGCTGTGCACTTCCTGTTGCTGCACATTAGGAAGTCTCTGATGTGTAATGCCTCTTTGTTTGTGAGGTTTGATTGATCATTGTGTTCAGGTAGTATCAGCCTGATCCATCCATTATGCAATGATCCCCAACAGGCTTTCACAGTCTAGATCCACTGATATGTTGGTAAATGTCAACTTTTGTGGTGTAAGCACTCATACCATGGCCAAGTTCATGCTACTTGTGTGTCACTGAACGTGGAACTAGGAGTCGATGGATGTAATCTGTCCTCACAAGCTGGTATAGGTTGTTT